GCTACAGACACGTCATGGAGGACAGGGACTTGACAGCACTCTCAGGTGGTTTGCTCCCTTAGTGGTCTTGGAGGCGCTGCAGCAGCCGCCATGTTCACCTATCCTGCTGCCCCAAAAGGATGACATACAAACTTCTATATGTAACATGACGGTTTAGATGGTGGCAAGACAGAGACTAAACACACAGACATCCTAAGCATATTCCAGAGTAAAGAGCCAATGAGAACACAGAGCAAAAAAAGACCCCACCCACATTTTCCCCAGCTCAGTGCAATGTTTCTCAAGGTGCAGGCCACGCATCGCCCACAGAACAGAGTGGGGAGGGGGCACAGATTCCTGAGATCCAGCCCAGACTTCCTAACTCAACATTTGGGGACTCAGACCAACAATCTGGAATGTTAAACCATTTTAAACAGACCCTCTCTCTAAAATCTGAGATTCCTTGATGTTGTAAATTAGAGCAGACATTGTGTGAATTTGAGCAAATTATTAAATCTATCTTCAAAAAATGAATAATGATAATGCCTACATTATAAGGGATTTTTGGAAGAGTAAATGAAATCAGGTAGGTCAGGGGTTAGAAGCTCTGCCCACTGCATGCACAGTGAGTACGCAGTTGTTATTAGATGTTAGTCTGAAAGGTCGGAACAAAATATGAGACATGTAGATAGAAGCATAAGAAGGAAGATTAAGGTCTTAAGTAAAAATAAACAAATGATTTTAGAATACGTTTTAAAACCATAAAACTGAGTGGTGTATTATATGTTCCTACCAGGGCAGAGATGAGGAAGTGAAGGAGGATGCAAAATTGTAAGAAAATTAATTTTGTCAAAATTTCTTTTTGAATTTCAAGTAGCTCTATACAAAACGCCAAACTCAACAAATAGATGCTAAGGGTCACCTTGAAGGCCGTTCAATGTAGATAAAATCCAACCCTCCCTCCCTCCTTCTTTCTCTCTCTCTCTCTCTCTCTCACACACACACACCATGCAGCAGGAAGCATCTTAAGGACCACTTTCATTGCCAGACGTGATAATGGCCACTTACAATAACACATTTAACAGTATGGAATCATTATCAAAGTGGGCAGACACATCAATGAAACTGAAAAGAAAATACAGAAATCTATCTAAGGACATGATTACTTAGAATATGATAGAGTTTTTATTTCAGATCAATGAGGAAAATAGAAATTATTTAATAAATGGTAATTGGATTATTGATTAAGTAATTAGGAAAAATAAGCTCACTCCAAATTCATTTCTAAATGGATTAAAGAGTAAATTTTAAAAAACAAAATCGGAGAATGTAGAATAATTATGTGTTGGAAATATTCCATTCTGTGTATTATGTTTATAGAAACAGAACATATAAGATTGGAAAATTTAGGAAGCCATGATTGATAGGCAAAATGTAACAAGAAACAAGCAAGATAAGAAGAAAGAGGTTGGTTATCTCCAATCTTTGATCCTAAGGAAGAGATGAGACTAGAATATTCCATCAAGTGGAAAAAACATTCCAGCTAAAATTAAACTGCATCAGCACATGGTTGCCTGGGTTACAGTATACTCTTAATGTGCTAATGATATAATAATTAGCAAAGACTGCAGCCAAATTCTCCCAATGCAATAATTGTTAACCAAGAGAGAAATGGTGAGGACAGCCCCAGAGACCTCTGTAGTTCAGACCGTTCAGATGACCAACCCTGGCTCTACTGACTAACACGGCGGCCACATCCACTGTCCACACCTCCTGCCCCAGGTAGCTCTACCGCTTGACCTCTGTCTCTCAGAGTGCTCCCATAGCTCCTGAAACCAGAGAGCATTGTAATTGCATGGGTATCTGTAGACAACAAGAGTAGTTAAAGAAGCACTGCCCACCCCAACGTATGTTAGAGATGCTCCATTCCTAACGTTTTCATGGTCATATCTGCCTCTGAGAAGGTACAATGTTTCATAGGTTCTCAAAGGACACAATTACTTATTTCCCCAATTTTGTTATTGTGGTAAAATACAAATAACATAACATTTGTCATCTTAACCATTTTTAAGTATACAGGTGAGTGGTAGTAAATATGTTAATTCTATCCATTTCCATCCATCCATCTCCAAAACTCACTCTATCTTATAAAATTGAAATTCTGTAACCATTAAATAATAACTCCTATTCCTTCTCCAACAGCCACTCTACTTTGTGCTTCTATTAATTTAATTACTTTATAAATGGAACAATGCACTATGGGTCTTTTTGTGACTTATTTCACTTAGTACAATATCCTCAAGTTTCAGCCATAGTATAACATATGTCAGAATTACCTTCCTTTTTAAGGCTGAATAGTATTTCATTGCACGTACGCACCACATTTTGCTTAGCCATTCACCAATCAGTGGACACATGGGCTGCTTCCACATAATTCTACTATGAACATGGGTACACAAATATCTCTTTGAGACCCTGCTTTCAATTCTTTTGGGTGTATACCCAGAAAATGAGTCGCTGGGTCATATGGAAATTCTGTTTTTAATTTTTGGGTGCACAACCATTCTGTTTTCCACAATCACTACACCATTTTACCTTCCCACCAACAGTGCAAAAGAGTGCCAACTTCTTCACACCCCCACCAACATCTCTCTTCTGTTTTTTCGTTGCCGTCCACAGTTGCCGTCCTAGTGGGTAGCATCTCAGTGTGGTTTCGATCTGCACTTCCCTAATGGTTAGTGACGGTGAGCATGTATTCATGTGCTTATTGGCCATTTGTATGTCTTCTCTGGAGAAATTCTATTTGAGTCCTTTGCTCATTTTTGAAGTGTGCAGTTTTGGTTTTGATCTGTGTTGGAGTTTTGGGAGTTCTCTACTATTCTGGACATTAATCCTTTATCGCTTGAAAATACTTTCTCCCATTCTATGAGTTGCCTTTTTACTCTACTGATAGTCTTCTGATGACAAAATTTTAAAATGTTTAATAAATTCAATTTCCCATTGTTTTCATTTGTTACCTGTGCCTTTGGTGTCATATCCAAAAAAAATCATTGCCAAATCCAATGTCTTGAAGCTTTTATCTATTCTTCTGTTTTGTTGTTCTGGGTTTTACATTTACATCTTTGATCTATTTAGAATTAGTTTTTACATATGGCGTTAGATCAGGGTTCAACTTCATTCTTCTGCATGTGGATATCCAGTTTTTCCAGCACCATTTGTTGAAAAGATTGTCCTTTCCCCATTGAACAGTCTTAGCAGCCCTGTCAAAAATTACTCGGCCACAAATATGTGAGGGTTTAATCTCTGAATTTCCTATTATACTTGTCTCCACATCTGTCTTTATGCCAGTACTTCATTGTTCTGATTAGTATAGATTTGTAGTAAGTTTTAAAATCAGTAAGTATAAGTCCTTCAGTTTTGTTCCCTTTTCGCTACTGGAAGTCCTTTGGGAATCCAAATGAATTTTAGGATAGTTTCTCTATTTGTGCAAAAAACATCTCTGGGATTTCGATAGGGAGTGCCTGACTCTCTGGGCCCCATTGGGGAGGACTGAGACAGCAAGACCTGTGAGGGTTTGCACGTGCATGTGTGTGTGCACTGAGTGCTTGTGTTTGGTGTATACACTGGAGTTCGGAGGTGAGGCATAATATGAGAAATCAAGAGCAAAAGAGAAAGAAACACATTTAAAAATGCTAACAGTAATTTTCTCAGTGTACTTGAATTATTGGTGCCTTCACTCGGTTATTTTTTTAGAACTGATTTTTCTGGGACTTGGAGAAAAGTTTGAAGCACTGCCAGTTATGCCATGAATGACTCTCCCTCCTTCTAATTTATGCAACACATATTAAGAGATACAATTCTAAGCAATCTTTTCATAATTAGCTCACAAAATGGTTGAGGCAGCTCTAGGGCAAATGGTTTGTGTTATTTGTTGGGCTGATGGATTTCTTTTCTCTCTCTCAGTTATGCATTCAGAGAGTATTTATTCTTTCTGCAGAACCATTTTTGGGGGGCAGCCATCATTTTTGCAGACTGCTTTTTGGAATTAAATCCTTTGTGAGCAATACCAGAGAGCAATAAACCACGGGGTGTCTGTTTCAATACATTGCCCAAAATCGGGGTCCTGGCTCTCTTTGGAGAAAGACAGTCGGGACACCCATTCTCCCCGTATTGTGAACACAGGAAAATAATGAGGGAAAAGATCTCCCATCCAGCAGTGTGCACCTGTGTCTGACTCGTTCCTGTGGTTTCTTTTGAGGGGCCGGGTCTGAGGAAGGCTGGGGAGCGCCAGTCCTGGACACAGCAATAACAGAAGTGCCCCATGCCTCCCAGCCATGCTAATTCTCATTTTCCTCCTGTTCGTTTGTTCCTTTGTTTATTCTGCTTTGTTCTTCACCTTTCGTGGAGGAGTGGGAGGTTATACAAATGTTCCAAATAGTAAAGAGATGAGTACAAAGTGAAATAAATTGGATTGTGGAAGGTTTTATCCTGCCTCATACCAGCCCAGGGTCTATACAATGAAAGAGAATCCAGAGAAGTTTGGTTAAGTAACGAGCCACACATTTCTCTTTTCTGTCTCCCAAGAGATGGCTCAAGTGACAATAAAGGATTTTTCACAAGGATGACGATTACAAAAGAAGAGAAAAATAGTAAGAGAGGGTTCAACTAATGTTTTCAAAACCAAAAATGGATGGTGACATGACGGCAACCAAAACAATCAGTGGTCCCCAGCTCAGCGCCTGCACCACCAGGGGCTGTGAGAAAGAACACAGCCCCTTTTCTCCCTGAGACACCACCAGGCTGTAGCAGCTAGGGATGCCGGGAGCAAGAAGGTGTGATAACGTCAGGAACAGAGAAAGAAGGACCCACTGAAGTTGGGATATAGAGCACTCCGGCCTCAGGTCTGCCCCACCCCATGCAGTAAGGTAGGATGGAGGCTTATCACCCCCAAACACTCCAGGAGCCATGCAGGTGAAAGGAATTAGTCAAAGTCCACAAATAACCAGAGAAGCCTCAGCCAGTGCTGGTTTCGGCAGCAAATGGACAAAAGTTGGAATGAAACAGAAGAGATTCGCCTGCCCGCTGCACGAGGCTGACACACACGTTCATGAAATGTTTTGTAATATTTTTTTTAAAAGAGAAAGAAACTTCAGTCCACCAGGAGTTTGCACCCTCTCTTGACCACCCTGTCTCTCCTCCTCCCCATGCCAGTCACAAGACTGAGGCTTCTCATGGAAGATACTAAACATTCCCAAAAAGAAAAATGTCTTCAGGTCCTGAAAACGGAGGACATCCCGAAAAAAAGACCCCCAACAACTTAATCACTGTAGAGCAATCCATCCTTTCATGGCAGGTGCTCAACACATAACAGTGTGATGAACTCAACAAGCATTAAATGGTGCCTGTGATATTCTGGGTGATGTGGGTAAAGCCATAAATAAAGTTCCTCCCTGGTGTAGTGTATATTCTTGCTTCCCCTCCCCCAAAATGAACCAACACATAAATAATATGGCCATCGGTGTGGGGAAAGAGAGAGAAGAACGGCAGGGTAGGGGCATGGTTTTATACATTTAATTTTGTGTAATGCTGACAATGATATGAGGAAGTACCAGTATCATCCCAATTTCATAGATGATGAAGCTTCATAAGGTAAAAATTGCATGTAATAAAAGTGGAAATGAAATATAACAGGAGCTAGCAAAGGATTGTTTTAGAGTTGAGTGTTTCTCATGTGCTTTCCTGCATTTTTACCATTGTTTTTACAATCGGGATAACGAGCAGCACTCTTCATTTTTTTAATTGGTTATTTGACAAAAGCATAGATCAAATAAATGCAGTGAACAAACAATAGAAAAACTTTCAGTCTCAGAAAGTAGCCACACAAGACAGAGCAGAGAGGTCGGACACAGTGTGTCTGCCTAGTGCATGTGGGCTTTGATCCACAGTCTTCAGGAACGAGCAGTAAAATATCATTTAACAAGCGAGTCTCTTTCGTGTCTAGCAATTGTGAAAACATAGTTAAGATAAATTCAAACAGAATAAGTTCCAGATCAAACAGAAAACAAAACTTTAGAAATCTGAACACAAAGCCGGTAAGTAATCTGCTGGAATATTTATGAGATCCGCACCCTGAGAGCCGTCTCAGCTTGGAAGCCATAGAAAGAACCACAGCGGGGTAAACAAACGTATTTGAATATAAAATATTTACAACTGGCGGAAGGAAACAAAAGAAAAAGCAGACTAAGACTCAAACAAACTAGAAAAATATTTTTTAAATATTACAGTTGGGAAATAATCCTATTTTTTTCTATTTAATATTGCATTTTAATGGTTCTTTATATTAACATCCCATTAGCTCTCTAGAAAAAGATTAAAATATTTCACACAAAAAAACTGTATAGAGATTTAAAATAGTAAACTAATCATGAGAGAAGATAATCCTAAATAATAACCAAAAATGCAAATTACAGCAGAGTATCTTTCACTTACTTAATAGCAGAAAATATAGCATAAAAATGATATAAACCCCCAATGGATGTGATGATTATCAAACTAGATTATCACGGCTCACTTTACATCTTACAGCCTTTTAGGAAAAAGTTTTGGCACAAAACAACCTCACGTCATTTCACTACCTACTTCCACACAGGAGACTGCAATTTCACAGATTTATTCTAAGCCCAAAGGACTCAGTATCGCACACTACTCTCCCAGTCCCTCTGAAAAACAGGTGTTACTACCCCCTTGGCAAAAAGAGAGTGCTGAGGCCCGGAGTGGTTTAGGAAGCAGTCTGACACAGTTGTCGGAACTTCGCTCTGTGTAAGGAGTGCATGTTTCTGCCGCCGATGCACACATGACCTCACACAGTCACAAGGGACGCTCAGGGTTGCCAGGGTCTGTCTTGTATCTGGTAGGTTTCTGCCGCACCCCATACACTCAGTCTGTAGGAGACAACAAGCCTCAGGGTGTTCTGGTGGTTGGGCATCTACAGCAGAAACCAAACAGCAAGGTGTCAGCTCCACATGTCCTTTGCCACACAGGGTGACCCTGAGCCAGAGGGTCCAGAGGACATGCAGCATGAGTGGTGGGTCTCTCACTGCCGAGGAGCAGTTCTCACTGCAGCCACATGGTTTTAAGGCCTGCCACTGCACCCGAAGGAACATAATAAAGAAACCCAGTGCTTTTCTGATGCCAGGGGCCCAGAGGAGGGACAGCCTCTTGTGCGACAGGGACAGAGATAGGCAACAGTCTTTGGCAGCTGCTCACAGGCACTCGGGAAGCCATGGTCAGATGGTGGCTAAGGCACCCCTCTGTAACATCCGTGGAAACGGGCAGGATCACCAGAAACATTCAAGGCACCGAGGTACAAAATAAGTCCCAAGGCAGACAACTCTCTACGTTGTTCCCATACCCACAGGAGATGGCTCGCAATGGTCGGACAATTTCCAGACACCCTATGAGAGACAGTGGGGAGGAACCCTGATGTGTCTCCATCCTTCCACAGGGCAGGGCCATGGTGGGTGGAGTGGGGACCAACTCCCACTCTCAGGCTCCAGTGGACAGTGCGGGGGCCAAGTGTGTGGGCTGGGGAGTGTGGGGGACCCACTGGGCTGGCTTCTGAATCCCACTCATGAAACCTGCAGAGCTAGAGACAGCAGGCCAGCTGCTGACCAAATTCTGACTAATGAAGTCAACAAGCTAAAGAACTAGGGGTCCTTCCATTCAAGATGTCGGCTCTTCTCAACTTGACCTGTAGAGTCAGCACAGTCCCCAAATCTCAACCAGTCATTTCATGGGCATCTCAATATCGAAGAACGTAGTCAGAACACTGACACAACCCAACTTCAAATGTCCCAGAAGCCACAGTGATCAAGACTGTTCAGTGCTGGTGAAGGAACAGACACACAGATCAATGGAACAGAACAGAGAGCCCATAAATAGACCCCACACATGTCCTCAACCAAGAGCTGACAAAGGAGCAAAGGCAAAACAATGAAGCAAAGAAGGTCTTTCCGACAAATGGTGCTAGAACTAAACATCCACTGCAAAAAAAAAATCTAAACACAGACTTCACACCTTCTGGAAAATTAACTCAAAATGGAGCACAGCCCCACACATAAAATGCGGAACTAGAACACTCCCAGAAGATAACAGAGCAGAGAATCTAGTTGAGTTCAGTGATGACTTTTGAGATACAACACTGAAGACGTACTCTGTGGAAGGAGTAATGGACAAACAGGACATCATTAACATTTTTAAAACTTGGCTCTGCAAAAGACACTGTGAAGAGAATTTTTAAAATCCATAGACTGAAAGAAAATAGTTACAAAGATACATCTCATAAAGGGCTGCTATCCAAAATTTGCAAAACCCCTGAAAATTCAACCATAAAGTAGTAGCAATAATCCAATTAAAAATGGACAGTTGCTAACAGACACTCCACCAAAGAAGGTACAGAGATGGCAAATGAGCCTGTGAGAAGGCACTCACTGTCACAGTCACATTGGGGAACTGCAAAGTCAGACAGCAAAATGCCACTGCACACCTACCAGAACAGCTCAAATCCCAAACCCTGACACCAGGCGCTGGTGTGGAGCTACGGGAACTCGAGTGCTATAGAGGGGAGTGCAAAATGGTGCAGCCACTGCCAAAGACAGTTTGGCAGCTTCTTACAAAACCAGACACAATGTTACCATGTGACCCAACAGCATTCCCTGGTATTTACCCAAAGGAGTTGAAAACTTACATCCACACGAAAACCCGCACACAGATGTTTATAGCAGCTTTACTCATAATTGCCAACACTGGGAAGCATCCAAGACGTCCTTCAGTGGGTGATGGATAAATAAACTGGTCCCTCCAGAGGAATATCCTTCAGCACTAAGAAAAAATGAGCTACTGAGCCGTAAAACGCATGGAGGAACCTTAAATACCTATTGCCAAGTAAAAGCAACCAACCTGAAAAAGTGACACACTGTATGATTCTAACCAGATGACATTCTGGAAAAGACAGTGGAAAGATCCGTGGTGGCCGGGGGGGGGGGGGGGGGGTGAACAGGCAGGGCACAGAGGTGCTTAGGGCGGTGAAGCTACCCTGCATGATACTATCATGGCGGATACATGTCATTATACATCTGTCAAACCCATAAACGACAACACTGAAAGTGACCCCCAGTGTCAATTATGGACTTTGGGTGACAGTGTTGCACCAGTGTAGGTTTATCAGCTGTGACACGTGCGTCACTCTGCTGAAGGGTGTTGATAGCGGGGGAGTGAGGAGTGAGGGTATATGGCCAATGTCTGTACCCGCTCCTCAATTTTTCTGTGAACCTAAAATTGCTTTTAAAGGAATGAAGTCATTAAAAAACCCAAAGAAAGACCATTTTGGGCTTCAGAAATTTTTGACCAAAACTCATGAGTTGTTAATAGCCATTTTATTAATTTCATTGGCTCAGTAAGCTGTGAGTATATTTTTAATTTCCTCTTTAGCCTAAGAACTATTCTGGAATTTTTGTTTCTTTCACACCAAAAATATGAATCAGTGAATAAATTGCCTTTTTCTAATTTTATTTTTCTCTTTTTTTCGCTGTTCTGCATCCCAGTATGTGAGCCATGAAAGAAAAGCCCCCAGTCATCAAAGTCCCTATTTATCTCATAACCTCATGAAGAAATAAAAGAAATCCTGTCTCGGCAAGCTTCACAGCTCTCTCCTGCCTTTCACCGCTGATGAGATGCTGCTGGCCATAATCCCCCACAGCCGATAATATCACCGATGAAATAACGCGAGATTTCTTGGTAATCCATGCCTCCTTCCAGGATGTGAGCTTTATGGTGTTTCTCTTCCCTACACACTCTGACAATCCAGCTTGAGAAGGGAATAAAGGCACTGCAGGAGACCTACATATATCCAGTTTACTCAGTTCAAACCCAATCCATAAGGCAGTCCAGACTGTATCTCAGAGCCACATGCTACTTGGGGCAAATTTCTACATTTTGTCCTGCTTCACCTTGCTCCATTCTGTAAAAATGCATTGAGGACACAGGCAGAGACATTGTACGAATTTAAATCTATTTCAGCTGCTGACCTAATGTGATAAGCGTGCACCCCTCTTTAGAGAGAGAACTGAAAGTT